TCAAGAATTTAAAATTTACATTGTTATTTTGGATACATTGATAATGCCCAACGATTTGTCAAGAAATTGTCTAACTAGTAAACGAATTTTCAAGTCATTTTCTAAATGATAATACTATTCTGAGAAGTCATGATGTTATTCTGTTCTTGACACCGAGGCTGCTATAAAATGCAGTCAATTCAAGTGGCGTACAGAGAACCTGTGCTCACATTTCAAAATAATAATACGAGAAACAACTCTGTTCAGATCGCGTGGTGCACGGGTGAATGCAAGTTTTGCAGACACGGTCACTTTGGTAGGATCAAATACAGAATATACAGTGCCGTGCTACTTACATGCTTGTCATTTTGATGTATCGTGTTGTGGGTAAACCACTCTGACTGCTTGCATTGATAAATATCCAGTAATATTCACATGAAGAACGTTTTTTACGACCGAATCCACAGCGCATCCGCACTGCGTTGATGCTTCGAACATATAGAACTCTAGCGATTGTGGCGCCACCGACGCGGTACAATGGCCGTGACGCTGTGGCGTCGTCAAGCGAACGTCATCCGACATTCGATGCGTTTGTTATCGCAAACGAGCGATTGTAACGCCACTGAAATGGGCTCATTTAAATCCACAACTATGTATAAATTGTTGAATAACTGTATTGTGTGTTGACACCAGTACTCGTGTACCCAGAGCACAAGGCCAGTGTCGTAATTGTTGGATTTTGCCACCGAGTATGTAAAACCAAATATCTCAGATAAACGCCAGGGTTTGCAATATCGGGTTGGCAGCACTAATTGTAAACTGCCGCGCTGATTTGGACGGGACGAATGAAGCGCACGATACAGAGTCCCACAACCCAGACATTTAATGAAACAGTTTTGTAATTAAATGACTACAAGTATTTCGAGCAATTCAACATCACAGACATGGGTACAACAGCGCCCTCAAACTGTCGAAATACAATACAGTTTCGATAGAAGTGTTCTATAACTTTGCCTTATAAAAATCATGTATTTATTTTGCACAAATGATTGGATTAATTGTTTATTCTCACAAGTTATTTGCAGTCACATATCGTACCATTTACGAGTGAATGAAATAATGAATGAATGAATGAATGAATGAATGCTAATTAGCTTCACACATCGCTGCACTGAGCTCCTCAAAATAGCTGAAAATTCACCTCTTTGAGAGTTAAGTTTACTTTTTTGCTTATCTACGTTGTTTCATTAATACTTTGTGCATACGGTCATTACTTTTCTATTCAGTTTAGGCATAAAACTGCCGTGTTTTTGGTTGATTTTATTTTTCGTTGTCTGGAGTCTTGCAGGCAATATCCTCTATTGTTGGGGCAAAGAGTATTGTAGCTGCCTCTCGTGTCAATCGTAGTGTTATTGTTTTTGTTGATTGTGTTACCTCAGTCGAGCTGGTTTGCGCTGAGGGTCTTTCTATTGGGTGTTCATTTATTTTTGTTGAACC